AGAGAGAGAGAGAGAGAGAGAGAGAGAGAGAGAGAGAGAGAGAGAGAGAGAGAGAGAGAGAGAGAGAAGGAGCATATACCCAAAGGTGCTCCTGCCCTTTGGTAAAGATTTTGTTAAAACTTTTTAGAACGGTAATGGCCCAACATCCGTTCCACAATAGTGCAATGCAGACAATTTTAAAATCAATGTAGTAACACAGAAATGCCACCTATTTGCTTTTGGAAACAAACTACAGCTACATATTGGTGAGCCTTCTCCACCTCAGGTGGGGAACGAGGGGGGGGAGGGGTTGCCTCTAAACTTTTTCCAGTCTTCAGCCACTTTGCTGCATACCACCTGAGGTATAAAACAATTTTGAAAGTAACCAGCTTTGACAATTTTATAACTACAGATTCAGCCAGAACCCACTTTTTGACAAAAGAGTGATTAGGCTTTTTTTTTTCCCTTTAAGGTTTTTCTCCTTTTTAAAACTGTTTTAATACAAATGTCTGACTGTGCTCAATTGTCAAGCTGCATGCATGAAAAACTGGCCAGCCCAAACAGAGTAATAGTTATTAGCAAATGGAACTTTTGAGGAGTTCACTAAGTGCTTTCTTATTTTTAAAAGGCAGAACAATTATTTATATTGGGGAAAAAACTGATGGCTAACTTGATTTTTTGGGGAACAGGACCACCAACCATTACATGCAGTTTGTGGACAGAAGGTATTTCAGCATTCAGTTTTGCTATACAGAAACAGAATGAATAAATGAACATTTTTTTTGCAAGAGGTAAGTAAAAGATTCAATTTGATTCTTCTAGAGGAAAAAAAAGGTGAAAGGAGATCTCTTCATTTTGCAGTCATCATCTGTACGAATTCTGAAAGAAACAAAGGAACCATTTCAGAAATTAAACAAATTGTAATGCAGAAATTCCTTACCTCGCTGTATTCTAAGAGGTATAATCCACAACTTGTAAGACCCCACTGTGATTTCTGCTTTTGCAAAATTCTAGTTATAGGAATCCAGATTATACCTTCATAGTTAACTTGTCCATCTCCGTCAATATCTGCTTCTCTGATCATTTCATCTACTTCTTCATCTGTTAACTTTTCTCCTAAGTTTGTCATAACATGACGTAGTTCTGCTGCACTGATGTAACCATTGCCATCCTAGGGGGTTGGGGGGGTGGAGAACAAATAATGCAAAATTGAGAGAATTATAAGTTTCCAGAAAAAAAATGTACAATACAACTAAACATGGCAATTTTTGGGGAAATGAAAAAAACTGGAGGGATAATAGGACAGTATTTCTGTTAATTAAGTACATGTTTTGATGATATAAGTTTGTAAGTTCAGTCTCTGGTTTCTCCAGCCCAAAGATCAGGGAACAACTAATAGCAAAATTCACATTTGAGATCTTAGAAAGATGCTATAGCAATAGCTAACTCTGGGCTAAACCTGTAATACGACTATTTTCTATGTTCTATGTGGTTATTAACTTTATCCTATATATATTATCCAGAATTTAACTGTATTGGTGTAGTCTTAGGGAAATGTGCAAAGAACATATCCTAAATCTCTCAGGAATGGAGGATTACCAGAAGAACAATAATCTTTTAGTATTATGTAAAATGTTACTGTTAGGCAAACATTGTAAGCAGCAAAAGAATTAAGGTTTAATTGGAATCTAAGTTCTCAAACTATTTATTTTGCCAACTTAAAAGTTTTGTAATTAGATTTGGAATCAATGTTCTAATCTTGTTCCATTCTATTGGTTTACTTCTTATACCACGAAGAACGTTTTTAACATGAAATCACTTAAAATTCCAATAAAGTTGTTGAGTGTCCCATCATAAAAACCAAATTATCAGAATCTAAATATATGAGGAACAGTGTCTTTCGTCTCAATACAGTGAGAAGTTTCTCTAACTCTATTGGCAGCATATCTGAATGCCTAGATCATCTCCAAAGACTTTGAAGTCCTCTAGAGAGTAGCAAGAAATTCCTTTCCATTGGAAAAATTCAAACAGAAATGTGTTGTTTTTTTTTAAAAAAAAACCTATATCATACAAATATCCTAACAGTACCAAGTGATCCAGAGATCTATGTGCTGAGAAGTCAACATAAGAGTGAATTTTAAGTTATTGGGTTGGTTCGGAATGCTTCTTTCAAAGTTTTTAACCTCTTCTTAGTTTAGATTTTATAGGAAATTTGGGTACTTGTTTCTAAAAGTCTAATAAGCCAGGATTTATTGCAATTATTCTCAACCTAACATCCCCCAGAATGTCCGAAATGCAGTTCCCGGAAAGCTTTCCTGCCTAGGAATTTTTGAATTTGCAGACCCAACATATCTGGCAGCCTCCTGATTGGAATGATCAGGTATTTGACTGAGATGATGAATCTGATCCAATCCACCGCTTCTCTTGGAAAAGTAGAATTTAGAGCTTACGTACTAAAATAAAGCATGTTTTAGACTCTCTATGAAAGATACAGTTCTTCATTTAGAAGGTGAAGTTGTGATAAAAAATAGCCCATTCAAGTTTTGACCTTACTGAATACAAGCAAGGAGAAAAGACTCATTAGTCAAACCCGGGCAACTCTGATTCTGACAGATACATCAACTCTATAAGGAATAGAATAGAGTAACAGAGTTGGAAGGCACCTTGGAGGTCTTCTAGTCCAACCCCTGCTCAGGCAGGAAATCCTATACCATTTCAGACAAATGATTGTCCAATCTCTTCTTAAAAAGTGTTGGAGCATCCACAACTTCTGGAGACAAGTCTGATTAATTGTTCTGTCAAGAAAGTTCTCCTTAATTCTAGGTTGCTTCCCTCCTTGATTAGTTTCCATCCATTGCTTCTTGTACGGCCTTCAGGTGCTTTGGAGAATAGCCTGACTCCCTCTTCTTTGGGGCAACCCCTGATATTGGAACACTGCTATTGTGTCCCCCCCTAGTCCTTCTTTTCATTTAATTAGACATACCCAATTCCAGCAACCGTTCTTTATATGTTTTAGCCTCCACATCTCTTAATAATCTTTGTTGCTCTTCTCTGCGCTCTTTCTAGAGTTTCAACATCTTTTTTACCTTGTGGTGACCAAAACTGGATGCAATATTCCAAATGTGGTCTTACCAAGGCATTATAATTAGAAACAGAAAGACCTGGATTAAATTTTTCACTTAGTCATAATGTTCCCAGAGAATTCAAACAACTTTCTCCTACAGTGAAACAGACACCAGAATGGCAAGCATCGCTATTTGCTACCCCAAACAACAAATAACTTTCTTAATCAGAACCATTTCAATTTTACATTAGAATGCAATATACTAAAGCGTTTGCCACATGCACACTCAACACAATTTGGGCAATTCTGGTTTTCTGTTAAAGGCATCTTATACACTGGACTTGTTTTCACTGGACTAATATTTAAAGATATGCAACTACTAAACAGTACTGTGAAAGAGTCCTCATTCATGATTTCAAGTACGCGTTTGCAGAATTTTGCAAACAGTTGCAGAACTGTAATATATTTTGTTTCCATACAGTTCTCACGTTGTGTTGCCCTTCCAAATAGTTTTGCTAGGAAGATAAGTCAAACAAAGCAACCAGTTAGAAATTTGATTGTGAAATGCAAATTACAAGACTCACTGGACTTTACTAGGAGGGCATGTGCTTTTAGTAACAAAGAACAATTCCAAGGAACCTGCATATTGTAACACTAACACCCATACCACAGTTAACCTTAAAATCATACCTTATCAAAAACTCTGAATGCCTCACGAATTTCTTCCTCACTGTCTGTGTCCTTCATTTTTCTAGCCATCATAGTCAAGAATTCTGGGAAATCAATGGTGCCGTTGCCTGTCAAAAAAAAAAAAAGGCAAAGAAAGGAAAAAATATGTCCAAATGTATTTTCAACTCTATCAAAACGTAATTTGTTCTGTCTTCTTCCTCTCAACCCCTTCCTCTTTAGTTAAAATTTGTTCTGTAACTGAATTCTCATACATTCTTTCTATTCAAATACCTCAATGAAGTTCTTTCATATTGTTCAGTTTTCAGTATCTTCATTCACCTATTTTTTCCCTTAACCTACCTCATTTTATCAAAGGAATGCTATTCCTATTAACTTCAACATACTTCTATGTTTTCCTTGACATGCCTAAGCTTCACTGCTGTTTAACATTCATGCTATTCACTGCCTTTCTAGTAGATTTACATATCTTAAAATTGTATAATTCATTCTGCTAAGGGACACAGTTTAATCTGTTTGTTCCAGTTCTTCACCATGTATGTATAATTTAGAATCACTCACTCCATTTTCCCTATAAAACACCACTATTCTTGGATATATTCACTTTTAGATTCATACTCCTTGTTGCATTTGACATTCACTAGAAATCATTTAGATTCTCAGCCAAGTTATGACATCATGTGCATGCCATCAGTTTTTTAAAAATAAAAAACCTTTTTTTACCATAGGAGAGTCCCTTTATACCATCAAAGGTTTTAGATATAAAAGATGCAATTTCTTAGCAGATGTCAATCAGTTCAACTCCCTGCACGCCTGAATTGCTTTGAAAACATCACATAACTGACTAAATTTGTGCTCTCTAGTTCAAAGGCCACTGCAAGTGGAAATTTCAGGACTTGGGAAAGAGAGAAATGAAATTTATTCTCTACTGCCTGCTCAACTATGAACTGGAAATGCTTAGTTTTTACAAAATCCAGATATTCTCTCTAGTTTTAATGCTAATTTATAATTTCACAGTCATTCCCTTCTCTTTAAATACCAGAATAATTTTCAAAGGAACTAAAAATCTGACTGCTGATCTTGGGAAACAGGTAGAATACAGGACTGCAGGTGACTGGAAGATCAACATTATGTCTTGTTCGGCATATGATCTATTCCTTACACTCATTACTCAGATTCTGCAAACAATCTGAGGGACAGATCTTCAAAATTCTCAAGGGTGTGTGGTTTATTTTGGAAGGGATGTTGTACAATTGGCCTCAGTGAAGGCTTTTTTAAAGCACTGTTCCATATTTGTAGGTATAAGACAAATTAACCAATTATAAGGAGACAGTTGTTTTATTAAAAATTGGTCCTCATGTCTTCAACACATGATATACAACTGTAAGCTTTCTCAAACTTGATGCCTCCCATTCGGACACAGCATGTTGGCAGAGAAGGCAGTGAATTATATCCTGTCTGGAAGACAACAGTGTAGTAATGCTCTGAATCTCTTCCACTAGGTTACTGGACTAGAAATTATTTTGTAGACAAGACTGGACGATACAAATAGTTGTAAGAAAATGTTAGCTATTGTTTGCAGATTAGAAAGGTATTTCAAAAATCTGGATCACCTCTGATCAAGCTGTCTTTTTATAACGTTCGAAGTATTCATGTTGAACTCATTTGTATCACAAGAGAATATGCAGGAGCATGATTGGGCTTCGATTCCACTTATGCCATGCTCTGCTCTAGAGATGATTTTAACTTTGAAGAAATCTTTGATCCCCAATGAGCACTGATGATGTTACCTAGATTGGGTAATGAAACATCTGCAAGAAAACAACCAAGCTCAGAGAGCACTAAGGATCCCTCATTTCAACCGTGAGTTGCAAATATTCTCCTTTATTACTGTCTATGTTTCCCCCACACTCTAAGGAACAGTACCCAGAGAACTCAAATGTTAACACATAAAAGATAAAAATGGTTAAACAAATCAGTGGAACAGTTATCATATTAATCACACCCAGTTTTATTTACATATAGTACAGCCAATTCAAATTTAGTTTTTCTTCTGTGTCTCTCTCAACAAGCCACTCAAACATTTTAAGTAATTCAAATAACTTTTCTTTGGCAAGACAGAAACATTTTGTATGTTAAGTTTCTTCAACTGTGCTAGGGTCCCATCCTGATTAGGGTTGATGCCATGAAGATGCATGATAAAAATTTGCAGCTAGGCAATGGGTAATTTGACCTGAAATACACAGCTCCAACACACAATTATTTCACAGCAGGTAGTAGGATTTAACCAATTTTGACTGACCTTGGAAATACTAAGAAGGGTCAAAGCTATTAGTAATAACATGAAATCAGGAAATCCCAGCCTAGACTGGAAGTTGAAAAACACCCAAGAAAGCAATGGCAAGCCATATTATAATTACTAGGGAGATTATAATAAACTCCAGGGAGATTAGATCTCTTTATCTAGAAAGTTGTGTGGTGGTGGGGGGAGTTGCACTGCAAATTCTCTTGCCATTCAAACATCTTTTACTCGGAATTTAATCCCAGATTTAATTTATATTTGGAGTCTATCACAAGGACGTGGTAGAGAAAATGGAGTCTATCTCTCGCCAAGTTACTCCATAGCCCAGAGGCTAAAACTAGAGGGAAAGAAGATAGAGAAGCTGTTGCCTATAAGGTTTCTATTTCACTGACTCGATTTGGCAGTCTGCCAAACCTGAATGCATTCTACTGCATTTGGAGATAGGGATACTGTTAGCACATTGTCTATCCTGTAACCCAATAGTCTCTCTTCCTGAGCTAGCTGTTCTGATCTCGGGCAAGGCATTGGTTTACTCTAGGCATTTTGTTCAGGACACAAATTAGGTGTGGTTTTCTGCTTGAGTGGAGCTAGTGATTAGATGTTGGGGAAGTTATGGTAACTCAACTGGCATGGACAGATCACCTTCTAGTGAGACTAGCAGCTGATGGAAATCTTAGTTAAAGCAATCCAATTCAGACACCCAATGCATTTGGATATTTACCCTAATGCGTTTAGGAAATTTCCCTTTTTACTTATCAGTTATGTTAGTGCTCGGCCGGTCTAATCTATGAAATTTAGAGATGGGCTGAATAATGGCCACTCTTTTCTCTTATACAGCAAGCGAAACCAGTTCCAGCAAAGAATATGAAAATAATGAAGCAAATAAGATAACAAATGGAACACAAATGGACAGGAATTGAGATCAACAGCTGGAGAAGTATTAAAGAATGTTTACTTCTCTGCCATCACTCCATCCACACAAGAGGCCAGCATTGCTTTATTTGTACAATTGGCATATTCTTCAACAATATGTTGGAGATGCACAGCCAGAATTGATGGGCAAAGTTGATAAGTTGTGCTCCAACACCTCTGTTATGCAAGCTGCAATGGCAGCTGGCCTGCTTCCAGGTGCAATTCAAGGTATAGGTTTATTACCTACAAAGCCCTGCGTGGCACGGGTCCAGGTTACCCGAGGAACCATCTCATCCCAATGGGATGGGCTCACCTTGCATCAGGAGAGGAGATATGCTGAGGATCCCATTAGTCAAGAAATTTCTGCTAGCAGGATACAGGAGAAAAGCCTTCTCCACTAAGGGTCCTACCCGTTGGAACATCTTACTCTCCAGGGTGAGATCTGCTCCTGACCCTCCATAAGGATCTGAAATTCTGGCTCTATCAGTTGACTCGGAGTCCCAATGGAGACTGTCTCCTGGAGGTGATTGATGGACTAACAGCAGATTCCACCTCACTCCCTGCACACCTTGTTTCCTCCCACCCAATCTTTTTACCATAATTTATAATTTTATTGCCAGTACTGGCAAATAAATCTAATAAATAAATAAATAAATAAACACACAGACAAATAATAAAAGGTAAAGGTTCCCCTCGCACATGTGCGCTAGTCATTCCCGACTCTAGGGAGCGGTGCTCATCTCCGTTTCAAATCTGAAGAACCACAGTATTCAAAGACGTCTCCATGGTCATGTGGCCAGCATGACTAAAATCTGAAGACGCACGGAAGGCTGTTACCTTCACATCAAAGGTGGTTCCTATTTTTCTACTTACATTTTTGCATGCTTTCGAACTGCTAGGTTGTCAGAAGCTGGGACAAGTAACAGGACCGCATTCCGTTACACAGCGCTAGGGATTCAAATAGCCAAACTGCCAACCTTTCTGATCAACAAGCTCAGCGTCTTAGCCACTGAGCCACTACATCCCCGACAAGTCATAGGGAAACAAATTTACCAACAGCTTGTCACTTGGAATTTTGGGGCTAGCTTTATGGAGAAATGAGGACTACCAGCCAATAATTTAATTCTTGCCTTTCTTGATTGATTAAGACAGAACTGACATCATGGTAAAGAGAAGTAATCTATGTGTTGCTGAGGGAAGGATGTATCTTAATTCTATAAAGAAGGCAAGTAGTCCATGCAAAGAAAATCCTCATGTCCTTTGGCACTGGCAATATGTGCAATATAAACAATCATTCCATTTCTGGGAAAGTTAACTGAGAAGACCTTGCAATTCCAGACATAACTGAATTATACTAATCATTGGGAGTCATTTTAATCAAAGGATTACCTTGGCAAGGGTCTCTGTCAGAACCAGATGTGATGGAATTAGCTTTACTTCTCCTGGGCTTCTGGGAAAGTTTTGATACCATTAACCATGATCCCTTTGGGATCATCTGATAGGACTGAATCTTGGGAGAAAACCCCACTTTTCACAGCAGCTTTGACTCAGTGTGGGACCCAATTGTTCACCATCTGGCTTATCTATCATGTCCCATAGAGTTATGATCTGTCTCAATATCTATAGAAAAGTGCTGGGGGCAATAATCAGATGCCAACGGTATACGGAGGAAACTTTCTCATGACGCGGCTCTTTACCATTCAATCCACAGAAGTCAATAACCTTTAAAGCTGGGATCCATTTATACCTAGTGTGTGTGGTGTGACCTTTCTTGAGGTTGTTGTATTTGGCAATGGTTTGCCTTGGTTGCATTCCATTTTGTTTGCTGTAACACTCATCATAAGGAGCTACTGTTGAAAAGAGTGGAAACTGCAATGCAAAATGCAGCTGACAGATTGTCACTAAGAGCGGTCATGTGATACCTGTACCAAAAGGTCTGCTCTGATTATAAATTGCTTATGGGACAGAGCTTAAAGTTTGGGTATTAACCTTTACAGTCCTAAACAGCTTAGGTCCCACTTACCTAAAATACTTGTTCTCTCCCATTTCAAACTTGTTTGCCTGTTAAGATCTGCCCCAAAAGGCTTTACCAGGCATTAGTCCCAGGCTACACATAATATATTTGATTAATATGTGAGTGACAGCAGCTACGCCAAGGACAGGAATCAATAATATTCTTAGTAGATATGCTGTATCTTCATGTGCTGTTTTATTTAGATTTCCCTGATTCAGACACAATTATAGCTGTCATTAATACATGGCAGATTTTATTAGGACTATAAATCACAGTTGTAATTAGCTGCTACAAACCTTCAATTCTGTAATGTAGAACTTTTACCAACACTGAGTTATGAGTTTGAAGAAAATGAATTACGTTCATGTATGAATGATAGCTGGTTCATCCCTTCATATGCTTACCATCAGCATCCACTTCATTAATCATGTCTTGCAATTCTGCTTCTGTAGGGTTTTGACCCAGCGACCTCATGACAGTCCCCAGCTCTTTGGTTGTGATGGTGCCATCACCATCTTTGTCAAATAAAGAGAAGGCTTCCTTGAACTCTGAGAACAGGGAAGAAAACAATCATCAGCCCACAGCAACCTGATAGATAACACTATGTGTGAATAAGTCTTCTCTCCAGTGAATGATACCACAAATGAACAAATTAATGACATGTTCCATCTTTTTGCAAATGTATACATAGAATGACATGTAATGCCTAACAAACAATATACAGGCCTACAATTTTTCCCATTTGGACTGTGCAGATAGTCCTCGCATTACAACAGTTCTGTTCTGAACTGTGACTGCTCGAAGTTACAACATCACTGACAAATGTGACATTACCATTTATGACACTTACAACCATTGTAGCATTCCCATGATTATGTGATTAAAATTCAAGCGCTTGGCAACTGACTCATATTTATGACAATTGCAGTGTCCTGGAGTCATATGACCACATTTTGAGACCTACTGACGAGCAAATTCAATGGGGAAGCCAGTTTCACTTAACAACTGTGTTACTAACTTAACAGTTACAGTGATTCACTTAACAACTGTGGTAAGAAAGGTCATAAAATGAAGCAAAATTCACAACTGCCTCACATAGCAACATAAAGTTTGGGCTTAGGTGTGGTCATAGGTCGAAGCCTAAAATTGTGTCTTGTCAAATCTCATCATTAAAAGTGCAGTAATTCTATGAATGCAAATTGGGGAAGATCCAAAAAGAAAGTTACTCTAGAATACCTAGACAAGAGCAGCATCCTGACACCCAAGTCATTTTGGCCTACAATAACCATTGCATTGAGTCAACAAAGAATGACTAGTAATCCACACCATGTAAAAAGCATCCATTTCCATAACATCAAGATACATTTTTGGATATGAAATATGGAAAGTAGCATTCAAAATCCCACACATAGAATATATATGGAACCAGTCTTTTTCTCATCCTAATGTACATTACAAGAATCCAAAGTCCCATGTCCTAAAAAACTTGAAGTCTGGGAGTGGGTGGCAGTGAGATATGGTGAAGACAGCTATAACATTACTGATACTTAAAACAGATAGTTATATTTATAATACATTGCATTCATAATGATTAAAAACTCATTAGCTGCAAAAAAAATCTTGTTTTTCTCTTTTGAAGGAAAGAACAAATGAGTATAAAATAATTCCCTCTTAGACATTGAACACCTGGATTTTTAAAGCCTTTACATTGTATACATTTACAGTTGCATAGCATCTTCTTCTCTCATTGCACTTAAACATGTCATCCAGTGAAGCTAAATGAAAGTACTTCACAGAGCATCTAATTAGCTTCATTATGATGTCATTGTAGATCTTGTTAAAGAGAATGGGCAAATTCATGGAGACTATCATGACAGCTATTTATTAGCTCCAGGTCTGGATGCAGTAAGTCTCTCAATATTAGTTAGTATGGAATGTAAGTGCAAGGGCTTACAAAACTCATGTCCTGCTTGTTGGTTTTCTGAGGACACGGTTTCAGTGTGAAAAACAGGACCCTAATCTAGACTGCACGAATCCCAGAAACAGAACATGAGTAAAGAATTCTGTGTGCCATTCACCTATGCTTTGATTCAACCAAGTGGTAATGTTCTTAATGGTTCATTCACACTTGAGATCTCTTAACCCTGAAACTGCAGATTAACTATTATCCCATCCTGAATGCACAATAATACCATAATGCATCAAGCTTCCTCGGTTTGATGCCCTACAGATATACTTGAACAGTAATTGCCGGTCACTGATCCAGTGACATGATGGCAGGGGTGATGTCATCATGCAAATCACACAATTGGTATGTATGTGTGTGAGAGAGATTTACTTGGAAAAAATACTTCCAAGATTAGTGAAAATATAAAAAAGAGAAATTACTTACAACAGAAGTAAGGTCTGGACTAGGGGTTTCTTGATTCGTACCTCAGACTCTTAGCCATTATGCTGCACCTGCAGCGTTACTATAAGCATAACACGCATAGGGAGAAATGCAACCAGGAACGAAGCTCTGAATGCAAAGTGTGCAGTATTCAGATCCCCAAGTGGTTCAGGTCTAGCATAAGCTAATTATACTGGTCGGCAGCTCCTTAAAGAAGTTGGGCCAAGAAAGTAAGTGCCAAGGAGCACAAGTCAGTGCTCTCTTGCCTTCTTAACTCAACCATCTCGAGCCAGGGAAATGTGCAGCTGACACACCCACGCTGCATGTGAACAATCTTTTCCACTTCACAGCTGAATTTTGCACACTTCTGCTTTAGAGGATGAGCAGGACAGAAAAATTACAAAAAGAGGGAACGACTACCGTACTCAGGACTTTTCAGCCCACTCTTGACCTAGCCAATGCAATTGTCTTAAGGCCCCAAATTATGCTATACTACTTTTTCCCTTTGGTATAGTTAGCCACAACCTTGGGTAAAACCAAGCAGAAATTGTGACTTGATAAACCAAAAAGTAACAGAAGGGAAAGGGAAAAAAGGCAGCATTTTGTTTAAATTTGGCAAGGGCCATTATTTTCTCTGAAAAATCCCAACTACTTTAATAATTTTCGACTGCATACTTTTTAGCTTTTAGAACTCTCAGAACTCTTTTATTCTCAGATAAATGTGCCTTGCTATAAATAAATATTGTCAATTTCATGAGAAACAGTGCTTTGCCTAGTAACTAACATCCAATGCATCAGAAAACCTCAGATCTTTAATGTTGAAATAAGTGGTCTTGATTGGTACCTAAGCAAATGTACAGAGGAAATCAAAGGACTGTATCCATTTCATAGTCACAGTCTTTATATTTATACAGCTATAACTGTGTACACAAAAAAAGGATGTGGGTTGCATAACCAGCCGGTAGGTTTCAATTCCTATGGTAACCAGTTATCTAGATAGAAACGAATACAAACATGTATGTTTTCAGGAACATATTTAAATTACTGAACGAAAAACATTTTAATGTGATGTTTTCTTGTCTTTTAAAGATCAATCCACACCAACAGGAATGTAAAGTCTTGAGAAATAGCCAAGCGATGGCAGCCACCAAGAATGTTCTGCAATATTTTTGTATTCACAATAAGTTGCTAGGCCAACAGAAACCATCTCCCTCCAATTAGAATACTCACCAGCAATCTGTTCTTCGGTCAGCTGATCGGCCTATGTAAAGAATAGAAAAGTATTTCAGAACATTGTTTACCTGTAGCTATGTCAAAGCACATAATGCAGCAGCAACTCAGAGGCAAGATGACATAACATTATATTAATGCTTGGCACATCCAAGAGCAATTGGCAATAAACCATTCTTCTCTTCAGTGGATCGTGCAAACAGAACCGAGACAGCATGGGGAGAGAGAATATGAATTACCCAGAAAGCTGGAGAGCCTTCTTTATTAATCTGATGGTCAAGAAACAGACCCTCCCCCCCAAATGCATTTTGCATCAGGTTTTCATTACAGCCATGAAATTACTGATCCTACCACAAAGCAACGGGCAACAAAAACAAACCTGCAAAATAAGGGCCTAACTATTTAGGTCATTTCTCTTCAAGAACTACACATGCTTTTAATGTGTTTAAAAATTTTAATTTTTTTTTTTAAAAACCATCTGATCTTATTTTTTTTTTGTCAAGGAAATCACTGGAAGTTGCCAATCTATTAGTTTTCCAAAAATAAAGCATTGCTTTGAAACTTTAGTAACTGTCCTAATCAATAGTCCCACTCTGTAATATCTGACAAGGAAAAATGGTATTCTGCTCTGTATGACACTGTCAGTGCAAAGAGATTATGATTTATTTAAACATTTATATAGTCAGTTATTTATATAGACATGGGTTATAAGATAATTAATTAGCCTAATCAATATTTAATAGCTTAGTGAGAAAGATTATATATATAGTGATATACATATAAATATATATATATATTGTTGTATTTGTGCTGATAAATAAATACAACACAGGTTCCAATCCCAGTAAGGGTATGTCTAGCTAATGAGAGCTAAATAGCTTGAAATAGATCTATACTAATCTCCCTTTATTTATTTATCAGCACAAATACAACACAAATGTAACAAAGGGAACAGTAAAAATATTGGGTTTCTGTCTGGATGGTCTCTTACGACGAGCCGATGGACAGAGAATGGAAGCAGTGAACTTCCTCCCATATTTGGGCATACCAGGGGTTGTGATATATATCAATGAAGTTACAGATTTTCTTTAAAAGGTTGCTGAATTTGGAAAAATTATACTCTTATCCAAATATTGAATGTCTGCCTTAAAGCTTTGTTTGAAATAGCTATTTGATGCTGCAAGACTCATATCCAAATACTGATTTCCTGTTAAATACACAAGATGTATGTATGTGAAGATGTGTCTGGAAGTTTACTATGAAATTTGAAGATCAACAAATGCGTCAAAATCCTCTGCAGTTTGAAAACCTCTGTTGGCAAGCATAACTGACTTCACAATGCAGTGGCTTGCCAGCAATTAAAGGACATCCCAAAGTAAGCTTCTCATTAAAAAAAAAAAGTTGCAGGATTTGTACACAACTAATGAGCAACCTTTTTTGAAATCTTCCCAGAATCCAGTTGCTGGATGTTCTTTCGGTGAGGCAAGTTGGCATAGTGATTTACATAACGTATCAGAGCAATGCAGAGCAGGAAACTGGACCACACCTCAATAAAATGAAGACTGCAAATCAACAGAACTAGAGTGTATGAAGCCCTCAGTCTGTGATTTGAAGGATGAGAATCCAGGTTTTATACATTCAAGTTTTGATCTTATACATGTTTTTCACACAATATATAATAATATCTAGCTTGTATTTTAGGCAACAAGAACAAATATGCTTTACTTTGGTTACCTGATGAAAGTAGCTAGCATAGTGCTAAACCAGCCACCCCGCCCATACAGGGTTGTGTGAAGGGGGAGTCAGATCCGATGATGTAACCCCTCCCAGCAGCAAAAGGAGAAAGGAGACATACCTGGGCTTTTCCTTTCTACTATGGGAAATGAAAGCTGAGATTTCCATCCTTTCTTTTCTCAATATATTATGCATTTCACAATTACGCAGCAATTCTAGTTAAAATAATAATAAAATCCTGAATAAAGACTAAAGATCATCATTAACTAAAATGCTCTTGGGAGATGTCTGACCAAGGTAAAATCTAACTGCACATTAGGGGAAAATGAAATATAAGGGTCAGTTTCTACAATGCATCTGCACTAAGCAGCCTTCCCTAATTGAATGACTTCCAAATGGGTCAGATCACAACATGTGCCCAACACACTTGGAGGGCTCCACTATGGGCAGAGGGGCGAGGGGAAACCTTGTTAAAAAGGCTTCCCCTGACTGCCTTCTGCATAAAACATGACCTTGTCCCAACAGCCCAATTGTGATCCATACATTTTGGTACCCCAGACAGCTATAGTGTCAATTTTAGTAGATTTAGTAGATTGAGACTGCCTTTTAAGCAGATCTTACCCATTTCTTTCACTCTCCATTCCAAAAATCACCCAAATAAGCCCTCTTGTACACAAATACAAACACTCTCACACACAGTGTATTAGTGAGCTTTTAAGATGTTTGTTCAGGGCTTCTAGGAAATAATTTCCAGTTGCTACTGTAAATAGCATGGATTTTTATCTTCTCCTAGCTTCCCACCTCTAGGGATTAGTAGGGTGGAGGCTCAAGAGGAAGAAGAGGAGGAGACATGATGTAATCCAACCTTCAAAGCCTTTTTTTTTTTTGCAATTGCTGCATTTGAGGGTTTTGGAAAATTATTTTTTGGGGGGTGGAGAAATAGTGCAATAGTCGCAGAGGTTCTCCCTCCCCCTCCGCAGTGCAGCTGGTATAAAAACTGTGATTGTTTCCATCATCCTTCCCCTGCCATCTTCCTAACCCATCTCCTTCAGTCAGCCTGGCCATCTACTTTCCTCATCCTATCTCCACCAGGGGAAAAAAGGCACATGCAATCATCAACATTTTTTTTAATAACATCAAAATCATGGCTCTTTACATTGCATTTTCACAGGGCAGGGTTCTTGCTCCATCTGCAGCCATATCAATGCCATATGTTGAGCTCCCATATGGTTCTAACCAGGAACTTTCCAGAGGTATGCCTCAGGGTAGTCTCTGTCAACCCCTGTCATCAGCCAGCACATCTGGAAGGCGCAGAGAAGGGGAAAGCTGCTTCCAGAAAACAACCCTACCACTTCCAGCTAAATAATCCAAACGGCACCCGCCAAAATATAGGATAAATTCTCTTGAATGCGGTCTTGTGTTCAATGAAGGCCTGATCCGTTTCCCCAGCCTCTGCTCATTCCTGCCGAAGATACGCGGTCTTTATTCTTTAGGGGAGGGTCTAGGCTTAATCTTAGCCTTGTCGTTTTGTGGAGGGGGCGAAGGGCCGCTCCTCAGCTACAACACAGGAAATCTCAGCTCCGGGGAAGCGCACGCAGCACCTCTGACTACAGACAAGGCGCGGCCCCAGTTACTACCTCGCCCCTATGACGTGGGGATGTGGAAAGGAGACCAGGGCGCTCCTCCCGCGCAATTGCCATCCCGTCTCCAAAGACATTTGCCCCAAAGTCCTTGCAAATAAACACAAAATCGGGAGCTGCGACCGCCGCCGTGCCAAGCAAGCAGACCGCCCGGTTCTCCAAGCAAACATCGCCCCCTGTCCGGGAGCAGGCGGATCCGCCACTTTCCCAGCCCAAGCGATCGCTGAACTCTGAAGCATCCCCACCCAGCCTTGGGCGCTAACTGGGGAGGAAACCGGCTTGCACTCCTGCAAGCGAGCGCCGACAAGAGCGCCAGTTCCGGCAAGCGGTCGCGAGTTTCTCCGCACACAACAGCCACGAGATCGTGGGAAGCGAGTGAAAGAGACTCGGGCGCGGGACGGGCGCCTTGCAAGGCCGCCTGGAACTTCGCCTGCAATCTTAATGCTCTCCTCCACAGCCCAAGTTAGAAACTATTAAGAAAAAGGACAAGCGCTGGGCAAGGGCTGTCAACGCTTCGCCCCATTCAGGGACACCACCACCCCATTCCCACCTTCCATGCAAAAGAGCGGATCCGCTTTCCAGCAGATCTCAAGGCGCAGGGCCCGCTTCCACCTCCGCTCCTAGAGCGCAGTCCAAGCTGACACCCCCACCCCGCCCCCGAAGTTGGCAAGGCATAGTCGCCAAAGGGCAAACGCGCAGCTAGTCGGTTCCCGCCAAGAGTCGAAAGATCCAACAGCAGCTTGTAGGAAGTCAAGCGACAAATCCAGATGTTTCTCGTCCGTGCTTTAAAACAAAACCCGAACAAGAACACCAACCACACAAACACACACAAAATCCCTCACGCGGTAGATCCAAGCTACCTACCATTGCGGCTGGCGGCGTTGGCTCTCTGTGCCCTGGCGAAGGTGCAGAAGACAATCAGAAGCGAACAGCGTCGCTTCCTCCTCCCTTTGCCAGAAATGCTGTAGGTGTGAGGCTGCGCGGAGCCTTTTTTATAGGGAACGGCGTATCCCTCCGCCAGAGCAGCGCCTTTCTCTCTCTCTCTCTCTCCTCCCCGGACTGGGGCGCACAGTAGCAGGACTGCAGCAGGCAGCTCTGCCCCTCCACGCCGCCTGGAGCTTCCTCAGCTCACTCCTCTCTGCCAACTCAGTGACCAGTTGCAACAGCTCGGGCTCTTCGCAGGCGTCCGTTGGACGGGCGCAGTAGTAGCGGCCACGCTACACAGTCCCGCGCGCCCTGCCCTCCGGGATTATTGCTGCGGATGCTTGGCGGAATTTAAGCATTTTGCAGAGTCCTCTTAAGAGGCTCGGTACGCGCTTCTGCTTTGGGGGCACGGAGGGGGGGGGAGGCGGTTTTCAGAGCAGCCGTCGAAAGACAATTGGCCTCAGAGCATAGTAAACCTTTCTACCACGTGGGGCGGGCCTTAGCCGTAGGCTGCAAGGGAAGCCTAGAATTAACAGGATAACTTACATGCTCTTGTGGGAGAAAAATGGCCAGATGGGGAACTGTTTGCTGTGTCTCGGACCACAGCTGACAGTTTTCAAGGTAGGAGAAGAGGATGCTGTAACTCAGGTGCTATTCCCCCCCCCCCTATAAAACACCCTAAAATTGCACACTTGACTTGAAAAATACCTCTGTGGATCATACCTCAAGCTTACACAAAGGGAAACGTTTTGGGAAGCAAGTAGATCTCAAAAAATAGACAGTACATGTCTAATGGCTGGGGGGAGGGTACACATCACCAACAGCTTTCCCCAAGGAGACCCTCTTTAAAGCAATCGGATTGCAATTTTCATCCTTCCAATCAGCTAATATGAATTTTATGATCATACTACAAAACTAAGAAACATGATACAACCAAAAAGTCTACCGTAATTGGAAAGTCAGGTAGTTATACACCTCTGTATAATTATATATATTGTGTGAGTCTTCTTGCTAGTCCCTTGGACTGCAAGGCAATCAAATTGGTCAGTCCTAGAAAAGATCAACCCTGGCTGCTCTTTAGAAGGCCATATTCTGAAGATGCAACTCAAATACTTTGGCCACCTAATGAGTAGGAAGGACTCATGGGAGAAGAGCCTAATGCTGGGCAAGATTGAGGGCAAAAGAAGAATGGGACGACAATGAGATGGCTGGATGGAGTCCAAAGCAGTAGGCATGAGCTTAAATGGGCTCCCGGGAATGGTAGAGGACAGAAAGGCCTGGAGGAACATGGGGTCGCGATAGGTTGAACACGACTTCACAACTAACAACAAAGTCTTCTCAGCAATGGAATTCTGGGAGTAGAGAATACCAGATACTTTGGACTTTATTTCCGTACATTAAGGAATAAAATGTTGATTATCAATGCAGTTGCATAAATGTGAGTCCCATTACATCCTTCTTCTCTATATACTCTTGGAAAGTGAGGACATATAATCTTAATTATAAAAATGGTGCAAGGGAAATCTGGAGAGTTGTGCATATAAAACAAAAACTAAGACCTAATCATATTAATCACAAATTATTATTTTTCTGTTGTCTATTCATGGTTTAATTTGGTAAGATCTTCAGTCAAACTGATGAAATGAGCTGAAATTTCTGTAAATTATTTCATATACACTGTCCTGTGTATTGGTTCTTTGAAAACAAAAGGGACTTCCTCTTTCCACAGAAATGAATAACGAAATTCCGTTTTACTTTGCAGTGAATCAGGGTTAGCCTTTTAATGATTATGCTTCCATGTCCTTTGAAACACCTCAGTTGCAATTCTCAAAGCAATTCCTTTGAAACATACCATTAACTGGTAGTGATAAATTATTTGAGTATAGCAGACTTTGTTCTCTCTTTATAAAATAGAAACTGCTAGCTATCATGTTTTCTGAGATCAAACTAACTGCCACTTCCCTTTGGAAGTGCAATTATCCCCTCCTTGAAATAGATTCTGACGTACCCTTACACTTCCATCATCTCAAGAGAGTCAAGTAGAGTTTGTTTCATCTAAAGATATATAGCCTTACATTATGGTTTATATACAGAATTGTCAAGGATAATTTTCAGCAGTATTTTGTGCTGCTTTGATTAGTATATTCTATGAAATATTGTCTATAATTTATACCCCCTTGTCTTATACCAAGACTTACTCAGTGTTTCAAACATAGTCTTTACTATTTAAAATATTGCCTCAAGTGAACTGAAGATATTTTAATGACTATAATTTGCAGAATATGGCAATTCACAAAATATGGTCAGAAGGACAAAACTACTGTATTTTTCAGACTATAAGACCACTGGTATTTAAGATGCACTAAGATTTCGAAGAGATACGTAAGAAAAAAAAAGTTTTTGTCCTCCCCAGCCCCCCAGGAGCACTCTGCTACCTTCAGCAGGGCTGGGGGGAAGGCAAAATTGCCTGTTTTTGAAAAAAAACGGGCAGAAAATGGGCCATTTTTTTCCACAGAAACGGGGGCATTTTTGCCTTCCCCCAGCCCTGCTGAAGCCTGCAGAGTGTTGCTGGGGGAAGGCAAAAACACTTCCATTTTTTGTCATTTGTTTTTCACAAAAATGGGATTTGTGGGCAGGGCTTCAGGAGGCCAAAAATGGCTATATTCAGTATATAAGACGCACCAACATTTCCACACTCTTTTAGGGGGGGAAAGGTGCATCTTATATTCTGAAAAATATGGTAGTTCACCAATAGACCCATTTTAGTCATCTGGGTTGACTAGAAACGCCAGCTAAGTATTTTTGATAGATGGAGTTGCCAAAAGCTTTTGAGCTTCATATTTTCTGAATGCCTGGATAGATTTAAAAACCATCTTTTAATGAGCCATTGTTACGGACCATCTAGAATATTGTATTATTAATTATTTCAATGGAGGGACAAAAACAATGCTCTGTTCACAGATTGAGGACTTTAAAAAAAAATTAGGCCAGATTTTTAAAAATAAAACTCAAAAGTTTCATATGCAGTTATCTTGGGGAGGTGGAGTATACTGAAACATTCTCCTTATGAACGACAAAAGCTTATTAATAATCAAGTCATAATATTTGCTTCCTAGCTCGCATAATGTTAAGAAGCAAAGCCAATCATTATGTCTACTGTTCCTTCCTCCTCTTTTTCTCCTTCTCTGAAACCATCAGTAAATGGTTGTTCCTGGAAGCTAACAAGACTCATCTTTATTCCTTTTTTCCTCTGAGAAGTATTAACATGTTGGCTCTAATGATGCTAAACCCATGCCCAATTTTGTGCCATTTTCTGTAGTGCACATTTCATAACTGCGGTTTTGTTTATTGTTCAGTGGCTCAGATCCAAGTACGTCATATGAGATTGCTACATGTTCTCCCAGAGTAATCTGTTTCTTGAAAAGAAAGAATAAAATTTTTTAAGGAATACATCCATATGCTTCCTGAAAGTATATTATGTCACTTTTGGTTGCCCATTATTTTTCATTATGGCAATCTTTACATGGCTTCTCTCTTCAATAACATTTGCACCGCCAGTCTGTCTTTCAAGTAAATTGTTTAACCAATATACAATTTTATTTGCTTAATCACTCAGTCTTTATCCCCTTCAATTAAAAAAAAACGTACTTGATTTGTCCATGGCACTGTAGAAAACTTAAAATTTTAAAGTATTTTTCAGAGTACCTTGAGAGATTTCTAGGATCCATTTCACAATCTTTCAACTGGTTGTAAAAGTTCAAGGAAATTGCAGGAAGGAAAAAACCAAATTGACTAAACTTTGGACATTTCACTGAATGTGAATTGAATGCATATGAACAGCTAATGTATGAGTGCAGCAGGAAAGCAGAAACATCTCTCTTATCTTCCATCTGGCCAGGTAAAAGAAACTGAACCAGGTGGGTTCTAATTTTTTTTACTACTAGTTCGATGGGTGTGGCTAGGTGGGCATATGATTCAGTGGGCATGGCTAACTTGATGTCACTCACGGCCACACCCACTCAGTCACATACCCCCCTTGCCACATCCACCGAACCACCCCCTTGCCACATCCACCTTTGCCAGCTGGGAGGGTGGCAAAGAAGCCTTGCTTCCCCCGCTGCCGTGGCTGCATCTACCTCTGCACCGAATGTTCCATGCCTCCTGTACACACGCGCACACACACACACACACACCGTGCTTGCCCTGGTGACACCCCAGCAGCAGCAGCCAAGGAGAGAGGCCGGAGAATGAAGCAGGCATAGCAGCAGCCAGAGCAACTGCTTCTTCAGAACAGCCGAGGATGGAAGAGGCATCTCTTCGTTGGGCTCACCGCTGCCGGCCCCGGCACCAGGCCCCACCAGCTCAGCTCAGCCCCTCTCTGGCCCTGGTGCAGAAGGTGTTCCACCGGCAGAGGCCCCATGTGAGCGACAAGGCAAGGGTGTGGGGGCGGGGGAGGCTAGCCACCCCCCAAGCTGGTTCTCAGAGGAAGGAGGCAGGGATGCTGGCCTGGGGCTCACTTCCCTTACCACTCGCCACTGCCACCCCTGCCAGATGGAGAATTGGAGGCCAGGCCAGTCCCGCCCACTCACCTGCCCACTCACCATTTCCCCACCAGGCTGACCAGCTGACCAGGGTGAAATGGGAGGAGCCGCCGCTGATCTCCCGGCCACGGCCTCGGAGCCAAGAGGAGGCTATTTTGCACCTTGTTTGCAAAGCAGCTCTCAAAGAAAATAAAGTTGGCACCACTGGAAGAGGATCTGAGGAACTGCAGGGAGCCTCCCGTGTGCTGCACCCCCCTCCAAGCCTTTGCCCGTGTCTCCATGCCATTTTTGGGCACCCAGCTTGGGGCTGCCCCGTCCCCGCCATTGCAATGGCGGCAGTTTCGGGAAATGCTGGCTGGTGGGGAAGGGGGCTAAGCTAGCATGAATGCTTACGTGTGTGTAAGCAGGAGGAGGCAGTTCTATGGATGCATGTGGCGAAGGCGAGGCAGGGCGAGCAGCCAAGCAGGCTGGTTTGGGGCGTGGGCTGCCAGCCATCACTACCAGTTCAATGACCCAGGCCCAATTACCACTAGTTCAC